CACGCTGCCCGAAGCCGAGCGCAAGGCTCGTCTGCGCCGCCACTTCCCCAGCAAGCCTAAGGCCAAGCAGGAGGAAACCTTCGAGGGCATCGACCTGGACACCTACAAGAAGTTCTGGAAGAAGTGAAGCGCTGAACCCAGAATTGTATCAATCTATAAATAAAACCACACAGTAATAAAATGAAAACACAGCCGTGTGTGGGCGGTGCGGCTCTGCGGGGCTCCCCCCGCGCTGGGCCGCGCGGTGGTACGGCCCGTCGGCCCCCCCGCGGCCGTGCCCGCGGTGGTAGCGGCGGGGCGGGCCGCGCGCGGCGGCCGGAGGTGCGTGAGGGGAGCGCGGTGCGGTTCGGGAGATTCGGGATTTGGGGGAGTTTTGGGATTTGGGGGCTCCGTGTGTGAGCCTGCGGGTCCGGCACTCCCGGTCCTCGCACTGCCCAGCCCGGACAGGCGCGGGCTGCAGGGAGCCGCCCCGAGCTGCCTCCGCACGCCTCGGGGACGGGCAAGTTCCCACTTCAGGCCCTGCAGCGTCCAGGTCCTGCAGCTTCCCCCGGCCCTGAACCCCTTCCCAGCCCCGGAAACTCTGCCCCAGGTAATGTCCCAGCCCGGGCCCTGCAGCCTCTTCTCGGGATGTGCAACCTCTCATGCAGGCCATCGCCCCTTCTCCCAGCTCTGACCCATCCAGGCTCTGATCCCTCTCCCAGCTCTCATCCCCTCCAGGCCATCGCCCCCTCTCCCAGCTCTCATCCCATCCAGGCCATCACCCCCTCTCCCGGCTCTGATCCCATCCAGGCTCTGACCCCTTCTCCCAGCTCTCATCCCACCCAGAGCATCACCCTCTCTTCCACCTCTCATCCCCTCCAGGCCGTCGCCCCCTCTCCGAACTCTCATCCCACCCAGGGCATCACACCCTCTCCCAGCTCTGATCCCATCCAGGCTCTGATCCCCTCTCCCAGCACTCATCCCATCCAGGCCATCACCTCCTCGCCCACCTCTCATCCCACCCAGGGCATCACCCCCTCTCCCAGCTCTGATCCCATCCAGGCCGTGACCCCTTCTCCCAGGACTCATCCCATTCAGGCCATCACCTCCTCTCCCACCTCTCATCCCATCCAGGGTATCACCCCCTCTCCCAGCTCTCATCCCACCCAGGCAGGCTGTGACCCCCTCTTCCACCTCTCATCCCATCCAGGCTGTGACCCCCCTCTCCCAGCTCTGATCCCATCCAGGCTGTGACCCTTTCCTAGACCCTGAACCCCCCATCCAGCCCATGAACCCTCCCCCTTGACGCCCAGAATCCCCATGAGGGCATTAAACTTCTCCACTAGCCCTGCAGCCTCCTCCCAGACCCAGAGCCTTCCCACTTACAGTCCTGAACTCTCCTCCCGCAGGCTGAGCCCCCGAGCTCTGCAAGCAGACCCTGAAACCCCCAGGCTGTGACTGCCCCGCTGCCGGCCCTAAACCCTGCTGGAGGCTCTGAACCTCACCCAAACTCTGAACCCCCCAAGGCCACGGACCCCCTTGGGGCTGCTCTGAGCCCCAGCAACCTCCCCCAGGCTGGGACCCTCCCCAAGCCGTGCACCCCCTCCCACCTCCAGGTTATGAACCCCCTTTCCAGCCTGTAACACCCCACACCTTTGTGTAACCCCCTTTGCTTACTCCACTGACCCCTGGGGGGGCTGAATTTGCTTCCCTGCACCTTCAGGAGCCCCCCCAGAGCTGCATGGGGGATCTGAAGTGGATGAAGGCAGGGCTGATCTCTTTGCAGGTCACCGGGATCCCCCGAATCCGCTGCGGGGTGCGGCGCCATGTTCGGCTCCTCCCGGGGCGGGGTCCGGGGGGGCCAGGACCAGTTCAGCTGGGAGGATGTCAAGACAGACAAACAGCGTGAGAATTACCTGGGTAAGGGCTGATACTGCCCCAATCCCTGTCCCCTCTGCCACGGTTTTGGGGTGCAATGATGCTGACTGGGGGGGGGTCATTGTTCCCCACAGGGAACTCCCTGATGGCGCCGGTGGGGCGGTGGCAGAAGGGCAAGGACCTGACCTGGTATGCCAAGGGCAAGAAGGACACGGGCCCCCCGTTATCCCGGGAGGAAGAGCTGGCTGCCGTCCGCCTGGCTGAGCAGGAGGCCATGATGGCAGCACTGTGAGTCCACACCCCACAAAACCCCAAAAAACAGCAGGTGCCTGTCCCCACACGTATCACCTGTTCTTGGTTTTACAGGGGCTACAAGAGCTTGAAGAGGCAGCCCATGGGCCTCAGCAAAGAGGTAAGAGGGGCACCACACATCCCCCCAGTGTCCCCTGGGCTCTAATTTTGGGGACACACACAGGACACTGTCCCCTCTCCCCACAGGACCTGGCTGAGGTGTGCAAGAGGGACGGTGCCGAGCGGGACGAGAAGGACGTGGATCGGGTGGTGGGTTTGGGCAGCTCCAGGTAAGGAGAGAGGGAAGGGTCCCACACCAATTTCAGAACCATTTGTTGGATTTCAGTGTTTTTATGCTTTTATCTGTGGTGTCTCTGCAGTGGCAGCGCTGGCCGGGTGATGCTCTCCAAGGAGGACAGGGAGGCAGCCAAGCTGGGGCTCTCGGTCTTCACGGTACGGTGCCAGTCACATTGTCCTTGGAAGGTTCAAAAATAGATTGGAAAAAGGCAAAAAGCAGTGCCCCTCACTTGGAATATTTTATTTAAAATATTACCTGGGTATTGTAGCACAGAAACCTGCAGGAGTTTCCTCTGTCCTGTTGGCACAGAGATCATCTGTGGGGCTTTAATTTGGAAGAAGCTCTTAAGGGTATTCTAATTTTTCCCCAAATGTAATTTCAATTTTTTTTTCCAAGCTTAACTTTTAAAGGGAGAAAAACCCTTTCTCTTATAATTACAAGCTGTGGGCTCATGGATTCACTCTGTATTTTTCCCCCTCTCCAATTCTAGCACCAGAAAGTCTCCAGCAGCCCAGAGACATCTGTCTCCAAGAAGCAGGAAAAGGAGGAGAAGGTGGAGGAGGAACGGTGAGGATTTTTCCCACTTTGGTGGGAAACCACCAGAAATGCCCTGACTTTTATAGGAAATATTTTACAAAATGTTTCCATGGCTCTGTTTGGCACTGGGCTTGTTTTGCATCTCTATGAATCAGCCTGAAAAGCCTCTGTGGGCTTCTCTTTGGCAGAGGAGGGATGTGGTGGGATGTGCCTGGAAAAAAGGATGGGGATGAGTTTTTGGAGCCAGAGGGATGCACAGTGCAGGGATTCTCATTGCTTGATCTCTTCCCTGCAGACCTGACAGCAGCAAAAAATCCAAAAAGGAGAAGAAGAAGGAGAAAAAGAACAAGAAAAAGAAGAAACATAAGAAGGAGAAGAAGAAGGACAAGGAGAAGCATTCCAAGAAGGATGCTGCCCCATCATCCTCCGATTCTTCCCCGGATCGGGATAAGAGGTAGCTGGGTTGGGAGGAAGGATTCAGGAGAGCCACGTGGTCAGGATGCTCCGTTAGCCTCTCCTGGCTTTCCAAAACCCCTTTTTCACCCCCCGAACCACCTCGCTGGCGTGCCCACGGTGGTGGCAGTCGCTTCTCCCGTTTCTGCAGGCACCGCGGCAGGACAGCGCAGCAGCACCCGGCGGCGCCGCGGCACGGCGGCCGGCGGCGGCGCGACTCGGGATCCTCGGCGGGCAGCGGCGGCCGCAGCCCCGCCCGCCCGCGCAGCCGGAGCCGGGACGGCCGCGCCCGCCACCCGTCCCCGCGGAGGAAGGGCAGGAAGAGGAGCAGGTCCCGCTCCCCGCCGGCCCGCGGGGCCCGGCAGCGCCACGACACCGACTCGGAGGACTGAGAGGGAGCCTGGCGCTGTTTCAGGGACATCTTCCATAGATTTGTATTTTTTAAGGCGATTAAATGAAAAACGCCGCAGCCCCGCGGGTGCCGGGGCAGTCTGGCAAAGGGCATTAAGGTGCCAGCAGCCCCTTCCCTGCCCGCCCAGGGGCAGCAGGGCCTGGGCACCCTTCTCCTCACTCCCCGAAATCCATCCAGGCAGGATTGAGCATGGAGGATGCTGTGGGTGAGGGCTGGTGCTGGAGTGGTTCTGGCTGTGGTGCTGAAAATGCTGTGGATACCTCGTGTTTATGGATAGAGACTTTGGAAGAAATTATTATTATTATTTATTATTATGTGTTTTTGTCTTCTTTCCCTGCCCTTGAGTGCTTGCCAGTGCAGTGGCTGAAGAGTTTCGTTCTTTAAAGATTCCCTAAGTTCATCAGCTGCATGGATGGGAGCTTAAAGCTCATCTGCTTCCAGTCCCCCTGCCATGGGCAGGGACACCTTCCTCTGTCCAAGCCCTGTCCCAACCTGGCTTTGGACAACTAAGTAATTCCTCACCTTCTGGGGGAGAAATTGGATGGGACCAGGTGTCTTCCATAGGCTTTTGCCCTGGCCACGTCCACCCACCCCAGGGAGCAGCCAACTCCATTCCCATCCAGGACTGAAACCCTCAGCACACCATTATTTATGTTCTTGGCATAAAAAGAGGGGAAATTTTACACCAATCAATAGAAATATTGATCCAAATGGAAAGGGGCTGTCCCGAGCAGCTCCGGAGCATCGCTGCCAAGCACAAGGGCCTCGTTTGTGTAATTAATGATGCAACTGAAGACAGGGAGGGTTTGTGTGTCTTGGTGGACAAAAGCCCAGTGGGGCCGTGCCCAGGAGATCACAAAGCCCTTCTGTCCCAGCGTGCTCAGCCCCAGCACTGGGAGATGCTGCAGAGCCTCGGGTGATTCCCCACCCCAGCGTGATTTTTGGGGTTGGCAGCCCCTTGGCACGAGGGCTGTTCTCGTGCTCAGAGCAGCTGCAGCTCCTGATCCATCCCAGGGATCCCAGCTGGGGTGACCTGAGCC